GGATAGCTTATGCTCGGGGAAGTGGAATGCTTTTTTTATCTCAAATCATTTGAATGAAATATACAGTTTCAATACAAAGTATTTTGTTATACTTACTACCTGCATAGACCGCAAAAGGGTGAATACAAAAGTGAATTTTACTCGGACATAAGTTACCGGCTGACTGTTTTGTAAATGAACGGAGGAACCAGGGTGACCTAGTTTAAATTATGTACCGAAAATGAAAGACTTTAACCCATGGTACAATAAAAAGGTAAGGTAGAGCTAACAGCTGATTACAATTTTTTTCTAAGTGTGCCCGACTTCCGTCAATTTTTTGTGTGTATTTATTGTTTTGAAAAATAAAAATAAAATATTTTCAAAACCAATGATTGGAAGACACGTAAATAGCGGATCGCGCATCAAAACTATTAACTATTTTAGTCATAAAATTGAAATATTGAATAGTTTGTATCATATTTTTGAGAAAAAATCCAGGCATTTCACATTTTTCGTGCTATTTAACTCATTAAAAAATGAGGGAAAAGATGAAAAAAAAATTAAAACTTGTTGCACATAATTTTGAATGAGTCTGACAGGAAGCGGGTATAGCCCCAGGGCTGTATTTTTGTAGTTTTACGAAGCTGTTGTACCTCCTTATTGTACCATGGATTAACCTAAAGCTCCTATGTCCTTCTACAAAAAAGCCAGCCTTATTCCAAAAACATTTCTTACGTGAGTCCACCTCTACATACCTGAGGAAGAAATAATGAAAACTTGCTTAAAAGCATATTCACTTTCATTACATTGTATAAGCCATACAAAAATTGTTTAGTTGAATATTTGTAAGTTGAATATTTTCCACATACATACTGTTGATTTATGCATGTCCGTCCGTCCGTCTGTCCATGTATTTTTGTAAACCAAGTACAGGTTGCATCTTTTGCCCGATCGAGATGAAATTTTGCACAAATTTGTTGTTTGGCCTAAGGACGAGCCCTATTGAAATTGGGGTTAATCGAAAAAAAAATGTAAATATAACTGCCTTTTATTGTCCGATTGCCTTTTATTGTGCACGAAACGTGTAATATCAGTATGGAATTTCGTATATACGACAAAATTAGGATTGAAAATAAGTGTGCCGAATTTGATCGGAATCGGTTCAGATATAGCTGCAGCTCCCATATATGTTGTTCATCCGATTTGTTATTTTTGTCCTCCGCAGCTGTAGTATGTACTCCGTAACAACGATATTTTGCGAAAAATATCAAATACAGCTCAGAAATACCCTTGCTGAATTTTATGGAGATCGGTTAAGATTTGGATATAGCTCCCATATATACATATCTTTGTCCGATATGACATTTATTGTGCACCAAACGTGTAAAATTATCTCTAAGGGGATGAAAATTGGCACTAACGACCAAATTGAGTCTAGAAATAAATGTGTCAAATTTGGTGAAAATTGTTTCAGATATAGCTATAGCTCCCGTATATGTTGTTCATCCGATTTTTTATGTTTGTCCTCCACACCCACAATATGAGCTCCGTAATAATGATACTCGGAGAAATATATCAAATACAGCTCAGAAATACATTTGCCAAGTTTTATCGAGATCGATTCAGATTTTGATATAACTCCCATATATATATATATTTTCCCGATTTAAAGTTTATTGAGAACCAAATGTTTAATATAAGCCCGAATTGAATGGATTTTGGTAAATACGCAAGAATTCAGCCTGGAATAAAGTGTATTAAATTTGATGGAGATAGGTTAAGATATATGTATAGATCCTTATATATATGTTTCACCCGAATTTTTATTTAAGTCCCTCTCACCGTAAAATAATCACCACAACAACGATATTTGGCGCCAGCTATCAGATACAGCAAATAAAAATCTCGGCCTTATTTCACAGAGATCTGTTCAGATTTAAATATAGCTCCTATATATATCTTCTTCCGATTTCACGTTTATTTGGCCTAAAAGTGTAATATCAGCTAAAATAGGATGGATTTTGATGAATATCGGTTTAGACACAAATGAACCTTAATGCGCATTCAAAAGCAATCATCATTGGCCCCCGGCCAAGTATTGAACTGTCCGAGATAACGGTCGAAATGCTAGAAATCCATGAATGATGCCGTTGCTTATTAAACCACACTTTAAAAAAAGAACGAAGTTTGACAAAAAAATCTATGTTGGCCCATTGAAAAGTGGAGGAATATTTTATGGTCCGACGAGTCTAAAATTGTACTGCATGCCGGTAGAAGATTTCGAAAGTATGTAATGTGTGAATATGTGACCGTAATAAACAATATCATCCATACAAACACATACTGGGTTGGACATATTCGACGGACCTTTGGGCCCATTACAATCGACGAGGCTTGTCCGCAGGCAACATTCTTTGCGTCAATTGAATTTTGTACGGGAACAAATGCAAATCAATGCGAATAATCCGTTATAAAGTGGACCGAGCCATGCTCAACTTCTGAGAACGGCGTTTTTGGGATGTTCTTGGGGACCTCTCAACACTGGCTCGTACGGCAGCGATATTCTCGGTCGATCGCCTTGGTCGACTTTTATATGGCCTCTTCGGATTAGAAAGAGCCTTACTAGTCGAAAATTGTTCGTATAAACGCTTAATGGTGTTCTTAGAAGGCGCACTTCTCACATTTTTTTTCACAATTGACTTCTTCTGTTGAATTTAAATTTCAACTATTTCAGAGCGCTCGCGTGGCGTGTATTGGTTCATGGTAAAAATCTACTTGGACTGACGCTTCAAACGTCAAAAGTTATGGCGTTGCTAGATGGGTTCGTCGAACCCTGTATTTATGGGCAACCCTGTATTTAACACCATAAAACATGGAGTATGGAGTAGTATTGGATAACAGAGATTATGGACAGGCATTTATAAGACAAAATATTCCCATATGTCAGAGAGGAAATTCTTATGGATCTTCCAACAGGACAATGATCCAAAATATACCAACTCATTAGCAAAGGAGTGGTTTGCAAAACATAGGATTAATGTCTTATAGTGATCGCCACAGTCCCCAGACCTGAATCCTATCGAAAATTTGTGGTGCGATATGAAGAAGTACACGAGTAATATGTGTGGATATAGTGTACAATGCTGTTGTCTGCTGGAAAATGTGGTCTTATCTCAGACATTAAATCAACAGATAAATAGTGTAATAGTCTGCAGTCTTCTCGGAAACAACTTTCTGCTACCCGAACATGAGAAGTGTTGGCAGATCTATGAAGCGGAGGTTAGGGAATCCTATGAATTACCATAGTTAGGGAAAGCATTCAGAGGATATGATATCTAAGGCATTAAATCAGCATATATATAGTGGGAGTCTGCAGCCTTCTCGGAAAAAAACATTTCTGCTACCCGAATATAAGAAGGGTTGGGCAAATCTGTAAAGCGGCGTTTAGTGAACCCTTTGAATTTTTATAGTTTATGAATGTACGACGTTCAGCGGCTATGAAATCGGAAGTACTGCTTATGGAGATTATCGAAATATGGACTGATCCGAGAGAAATAACGGGTTGTCACCTGTCAGACCAGATGACACTCATTACCTGGGACGGAGTATCACAACTAATGGTGGACACTTAAGTCTACATAGTACCAAGCGGTTATTGCCTACCAAAGCCGGGCTAATGTCTAGCAATAAACACAGTTCACAGCTATTAACAGGCGGGATATACACATAAATCAGCTCTTCCTTCAGTTCTATACTTGATTATAGCATGTACGTGAGGTGCTGCCGTATAGATTGCTGTTCGGGAGACGACGAAGACGTGAACCCGCTGGTAATCACGTTGCCACTTAATCACTTAGTCTTGCAACCATCTCTCTGTATTTATAACCTTGCACCAGATCAGTGGGGGATGACGCTCTGACAAAACGAACAGAACCATGTTCTGGAGTTTTGTTCGATCCCGACAGGGACAAAAAGAATCTGGAGCAGGTACTCTGCTTCCAAAGAAAAAAATAAATTAACACGAACAGAGGCGGTATCCGCTGGCCGAAACAGATATGCGGTTGTTTCCGGTCCATCCGGTATCGTAGAGCCCGTCGCCTTGAGATTGTTCTATTGTCTTTTTTGGTGTATAAAGCGAACACTTTTTCAAATTTATAATTACTGAATTTTGGGTTTCTTATTTGGATATTTATTTGCGTTAAACATTTAATTTAAATTTGTGGCATTTGTAGCTGCGGTCACTTTTATTTTAATTAAACTAAAACACGGCGTTGACGTAGTTTGTTTGGGTTCATGCAATAAAACATCAAAGTTTTTCATATGAAAATAGGTCTATTCTTCTTCCGTAGTAATTTTCTGCTTATTATCAATTCGATCAACATGGACGAGCGTGGGTTATTTGACCAATAGAAGAATGGTTGACTTTTTGTAACATCACTCTCCTTTTATAAATCCGCTAAAAATACAGTAGCTTAAAACGGTAGTGGGGATCAGAGATATGAAATTATGGTGTTATTTACATGATGATATTTTGACCATTAAATTGAAATATTTAAACAAATTAGTTAAAACATAATGTGATTAAAAAATTATAAAATATATACATAGCGGAATACATTGTTAAAAATATAAAAGTAAAATAAAAAAATTGAATTAGTTCTACTTGGCTTGCTTCCCCCTCTGATGCCTAAAATGTCCCGATTGAGCATCAGAAGATTTCTTGTTTGAAATTCCTCTGCATCAAGTTGGTCTGCTTCAAAACTTTTTTTTTTTTTTACTTTCATCCGTTTAGCGCTATTCTCATCACCTTAATGGCCACACATTAAATAAAACACCTCAATTAAGATGTTCTTTTGTGTAGCGTTATTAGAATTTTTAAAATAATCTCTTTCTAAAGAGATTATCCTCTCTTACCTAAAAGGTCGGCAACAATAGTAGACTGGAAATTAACTAATATGATTATTAAGACGTAAATAAACAATAACTTTCTCCACCTTCTTTGTGTCTTCTTTTGTTTTTAGTGGCCACCCAACCGATTTGTTTACAAAAGACACGGAATAATTTGGTGGTTGGCAAAAGGGCCACCATAGCCGGTTGGGGAAAAATGTCGACATCAAGCAGTCGCCAACCTGAAATGTCTTATTTGGATGTACCATTGACCAGTTGGGATTTGTGTTTGCGTAATTACGGATCAACGGGTGCATTGGAATCGCCCAACTCCATTGAGGGTCAATGGATGTGTGCCGGCGGTGAGGGTAAAGATGTGTGTCAAGGATTTGGCGGGGCACCATTGTTTATACAGGAAAATGGCATATTTTCACAGGTATGTTAAAAAAACCAAAAAAATAAATACAATTTAGAACATCATTGAAATTCATACTTTTTTCCTTAGATTGGCATCATGTCCTTTGGTTCGGATAATTGTGGTGGCTTACGCATACCCAGTGTTTATACATCTGTGGCTCATTTTGCTGAATGGATTCATGATAATACACCACCTGAATAGATGTAATAGAGGAAACAGGAGGTTTATCAAGAATTTATACATTTTGCTGACAAGTTTTGAAAGCATTGCAAACAATCCATAGCTTTTAAGGTGATCTTCAAAATTGTAGTTTTAAGAATTTTTATTTTATATAAAACAAAATAACAAATGTAACAACAACAAATTGTTAATGTGATTTATGTACTGGATATGTATATTTTCAAGTCCTCTATTAAAAGTATTCAATAAAGTTTAAATATTTATTTTCTAAGAACAACCAAACGCACTGATTTAGGCACCGCTACATCGTTAAAGATGACTGAGGTCTATTGTCCATTTTCCCAGAGAACGATAGCGATTTAACCGTTACCCGAAGGTTATGCAAATCGGTTCCAATATTGCAACACTTCGGATAGTCTAGCTTAAACCTCTACTCTCAATGCACTGACTCGGGGATCAGTTGGGTTAGAACGACGGACATACTAATCTCGCTGCCTCTGCTCGGAAATTTAGACTTAGGATGGAAATACATAAAGGGCATATTGGACTGGCTTGAGTTATCGGCTGGCTTCTTCGTAGATGAACAAAGAGGTTTTAGGTTGACCTAGTTCGATTTTGGCCCTAGGCTCCTTTGTTCATTTCCGAAGAAGCCAGCCGAAGACTTAAGCCAGCAAGATAAGCGCTTTATGTATTCCCACCTTTATCCCAGGCATTCTTACAAAAGGTATTCAGTCAGCGGCGGCAACCTTCTCGGAAACAACCTTCTGCTAACCGAATATCAATCGAATATTTGATTCTAGCCATTTCGATGTAACTTTTAGTATTGGGAATTCCAGTGAGACTCTTAAGGTGAGAATACATAAAACGCTTACTGGCTGAATTCATCGGTTGGCTTTTTCGAAAAAAAAACAAAGGGCGGTGGGTTTAAATCGAACTAAGTCAACCTAAAACTCATTTGTTCATCTACGAAGAAGCCAGGCAAAAAGCGTTTTATGTATTCTCACCTTTAAGGCCAAATATCTGACCACAGTCAGCGCGTAGCTTAATTTTTAAAGGGATGTCAGAGTTGCTCTGGAATTCTGACGTCGCTGCCCTTTACAATTTGGCTATAAGGTGATAATACAGGGTGAGATAAAAAAACTGCAACAAAGTAAAACGCCATAATTTTTACATTTTTTTAAATGTCATTGAATGAAAGCAAAAAATGTCTGATATAGCATCAAATTTTAGAATAAGTTTAGATTTGTTCGAATTGGTCAACTTTGGCACGATTTATAGCCTTCAAATGGCCAATGAAACCGTCACACGCTGTCCGAATGTTGCTCTGTGGAATTTTGGTGAATTCCCGGCGAAGCGCTAGCTTGAGGTGATCCACACTTTGGAATTTTTTATTGCCAACCTTGCTTTCCACAACACTCCAATCCAACAGATTGGTATCCGGAGATTTTGGTGGCCATTATGCGCTGGAAATTAAGCCAGGAACCTCATTTTATAATCATTTTTGGGTGGCGCGTGCTGAGTGCGATGTTGCCGAGTCCTGTTGGAATGTCCAAGGTCTGCGGCCAAAATGTTTGCGTGCCCAAGGCTTTAATACACCCTCCAGAATATTTTCGCAATATTATTCGGCATTTTTTCTAATGCTGATTAATACGAGCGGAGAGCGACCATCGGCTGTTATGGCGGCCCACACCATCACCATGGCCGTCGCTTGAGTTCTGGTGGCCAACCGTAGGTGCACATTTTCAGCTGACCTCTTTGGCAAGTAAACACGGTCATTTTGTTTCTTCACAAACTGCTGGACAACGAATGTTTTATCATCGGAGAAAACCAAATTCGGCAGTTCACCACTTTCGGCCAAGCGAAACAATTCTTTAGCTCTTTTGATTCTATTTCCTTTCTGTTGCAGTGTAAGTTCTTGCACTTTTTGAAATTTCAATGGCTTTACCCCGAGCTCATTTTTCAGTATTTGCCATATGGAATATTGCGATATGTTCAGCTCACGAACCATATTTCGGCCACTGCGACGCGGGATTCGATCAAGTCGATTCTTTATATTTCGAATCATTTCTGCTGATGTTGCTGTTTTCTTCCTTCCACTTTTTTGACGTTGGGCTACGCTACCAGTGTCACGGTAACGAGCGATGGTATGAGACACAAAAGATTTATTCAAATTTAAATGCTGGAGTACTCTAATCGAAAATACCGAATATAGGGAGGTACTGATATATGGGGCCTATACGAAGACCTGGACCTGCATAGGCAATTTTCTGTCACAGACTGTAGTTCCCATTAGGAACTCTAACTACGTAATTTGAAACTACTCGGGTGAATAATGATGCTTAAATCATCAAATTACCGAATATTGGGAGGTACAGTTGTGGGGGGGCTATACGAAGACGTGGACCTGCACAGACAATTTTCTGTCTTAGGCTGTAGTATTCATTACGAACTTTAAATGCCAAATTTGAAACAATTCCGGTCAATAACGTCGGTAAATTCATCAACATACCGAATATCCGGAGGTACCGTTATATTGGGGCTATACTAAAACGTGGGTCTACATGGCCCATTTTCGATACCAAAAGTTCTGCAGGCATAATATATATTTGAGTAAAATTTTATCAATCTACTTAATTTCGTTCGGAAGCTAGAGTGATTTCCACAGACGGACGGACATCGATAAATCGGCATTGAATTTATGCTGATCAAGAATATATATACTTTGTCGGGTCTAAAATGTATATTTCGAGGTCTTACAAACGGAATGACAAACTTAATATACCCTCCATACTATGGTGGAGGGTATAAAAAGCTTATGCAAGTGTGTGATAGCAAGTATTTTGGGTTATATGTTCAATTTTGACAAACATATGCTAGAAACACAATTGGAGCGAACGACGAATTTTTTCGCGGCGTATGTTCGTCGTCAAAAATAAAAAACATATGTGTATATGGAAGTGCACACAATCACGGCGCCGGCGAAAATTTCGTCGGTCGCCGCGAACTCAATTAGCTTTATTTCTATTTCATACGCCGGCGAACGGCGACAAAACAGTACAAGGTGGCCATACTTGTACGAATTTTATGTGTTTTAGTAAATAAAGTTACTTTTTACTTTAGAATTTGTTATGGTCACTCTACTATCTGTTATTCGTATAAAAAACATAAATAATTTGTTTATTTATTTGTGCACTTGCGCCTGAGTGAAGATGGATATCAGTGAATTTATAATAGAGAAGATGGACATAACTGAAATAATAAAGAATTATGAGTTCTTGTATAATTTTCATTGTAGTCAACAAATGAGCAAAAAGTAAACAACTTGATCAGCTGTTTTATAATTTCGTCGGTATTGTGTTCCATACGACGAATTTTCGTGGCTCATTTTGTCGCCGCGTAGGGCGAAATTCGTCGTTCGCTCCAATTGTGTTCCTAGCAATAAACGGAAATACTCATGGATAATAAAAGTGACAGCACCTATGTAAAACAATTATCGTCTGATAGCAGCTTATGAAGCCAGCCGATGACTTAAAGATGAGAACATATAAAACGCTTTTTTGACCGACTTAAGTCATCGGCTGGCTTATGGGCCAAAATCGAACTAGGTCAACTTAAAACTCCTTTATTTTTTTACGAATAAGCCAGTCAAAAAAAAAAACTTTTATATGCTCTCACCTTAAGACAGCCAAAAAGACGTTTGACTGTCCAGCGCTTCACCCGCACATTAAAGTAGGTACAGAGTATTTTCCACACAATTTATCAGAACTCGAAACACTGTAGCAAATACAAAAAATACAAACACAAGGAAGACAACCCTAAAACGTTTAATTTTAATGACCTGACATTAAAAAGAAAACCTCCATAAATGTGAAACCAATGCGAATCAGTTCAACTTGCATTTGAGCCTATTTGGGCAGATAATAAAACTACGTCTCTCGGGCGAAAATGAAACTAAAAGAAAGGAAACAAATCATGCGGCAACAAAAACCAGCTGATATTCAATCACATGTCCGACAAACAGTGAAGTCCGATTGCCGATAATGATCATTATCCGCATCGTGTGCATGTTCAAGTTCAAGGAAACACCAAAGATTCAACATTACAAACAGCTGTTTGAATGCAGTTGCAGTTTTTTTGTCTGTGCAATCGGTACAGGAAGAAGTGAAATTGGTTCGGTTTCCATTCATTTCGTCTTTCTTGACTTCTACGCTCTTCACATTTGTAAGTTTTAATTTTTATGAGCCAAGACCACCACACACATGTTATTGTGGTGTATAAAGACCAAAAAAGGGAGGATTCGATCGTAAAAGTTACGAAATGATTTTGTGACAGTAGTTAGGAAGAAAAGTAAGTTTACATACAAATGATTATGGACTAAATCCGTTTCAGGACATTTGGAGTCGATCTAACGATATCCGTCCGTCCGTCTGTCTGTGTGTCGGGCTGGCTCACGATAACTCTCGAAGGGAGTGTCCGATTTGATCCAAACTTGGTACATCGCAATAATAATGTCAAACTTAGATCGAGTTCGTAGATGCACAATATCGGTCCACATCTTTTGGTCCAAATTTTCAAAGAAAATAATTTACTGCACCGAAAGAGAAAGGATAAATCTTTTTCGCTCCCACTTTGCAAATCCTAATATTTGCAACAGTGCTAGGTCAGGTGCGAAAATGGACAATATCGGTCCACTCCATCAAGTACCTATAAAATTTGATGTAAGAGTCCGATTTGTTTCAAATTACACACTTCACAAAATTGTTATGAACCGTAGGTTTGGTGTGAAGTTGAAATATATCGGTCCACTCCTTCTGGTACCTCCCCCACAAAGGGTCAAATTTTTGAATATTCATGAAGCTCATAAAACGCGAAATTAACATCCGATTCCATTTAGACTTGGCACAGCTCAATATTTCTATTAACACAAGATCTGTTATAAAGATGGTAGACTTCGGACCATTCCTTCTGGTACCTTTCCCACAAAGGGTCAAGGTTTTGAATGACCAAAACGAATACTAAATCCGAAATAAGCATAAGGTTCCCTTCATATTTCACACATCCTATTATTTCTGCTAACACAAGATCTGCTGTGAAGATGGAATATATCGGTCCACTCCTTCTGGTACCTCCCCCACAAAGGGTTAAAGAGTCGAATATTCATGAAGCTCATAAAACGCGAAATTAAAATCCGATTCCATTCAGACTTGGCACATCTCAATATTTCCGTCAACAAAAGATCTATTATGAAAATGGTAGAGATCGAACCATTCTTTCTGGTACCT